CCTAAAGTTGCTAGCATAAACACTACTCATCCGAGTTTCAAGAGACTGAGAGCTTCTTATTGTAATTATCATCTTTATATTTCTTTTGATCTTTAGATGTTGGCGGTATTCATTCATAGTGGAAGCACACAAAAATGGCAGAGAAGAAGTGAATCTGTACCGATTACTGTAATTTAAGCAGGGCATTTATTAGTATACCCTTTTTATGCAAATTCCTTTAATTTAAACTCAATTTTAAGAGGGCAAACCTGAAAATCCACGCCCTTAAACAACCTCAGGTCTACTCACACACATTGAAAAATGTTCCTTAACAGCACAAAAAACTAATTTGGTTTTGAAACGCCGGTGATGTAGTTAATGGATTTTGAAAGGCTCATTAATAGGTGTGCGCTGCATAGGTTGTATGCGCTCCATTTTTCTCTCGGTCTCTCTCTTACATGTCTTCTGTAAACTAGTTTTTTTATTAAAAAAAACAGAGTCCATCATAATCTCTAGCACCCCCCCCCCCGATCCCCAAGCCCTTTCCCACCACCCAATCCCTAAACCCCTCCCCCATCCAAATCGTCTTCCCCCCACCACCTGACCCCCACCCTCCGCCGCCCAAATCGTTTTCTCAGTGAAATTTTTTCTTTCAAGTATATGTTAGTTCTTCACTTAAGACGCAAGACTTTCTTGTTCAATCTTTCTTAATTGTTTTTCTCCATTGGTTCTATGTTTTTTCATAAATCAAATTAATTATAGCCTGATCTACTATAATGTTGGTTGTTTTTGTTTTAACTAATTAGCACCATCAAATCTACTTCTCCGTGGAAGTAGTTTAAGTTTTGGGAGATGGTGGTTAAAAAATGGTGAAGAAGATGAAAAAAATGAAATAAAAATGAATTTAATAAGCTTTTCACGCGCTGGTAGTAAGTGTATCTCACTCATTATGTCATATCAGCAAAAAGTGTCAAACTTACACAACGGGGCATGACATGAGGTGTCTAGAATGCACAAAGCCTAATTAAGGTGTTTAAGTGAAAATTTATGTCAATTTTAAGTGGTCACCGATGGATTAGGCCTTGTTATAATTATAGGACATTGTTGATTAGTAGTTTTCATATAATAAATGTACTTGCATAAAGAAGAGAGTTTGGTGTAATATCTGACTGGTGACAGCAGTGCTACAAAACTTCAAAGGAAAATATATAAATGAAACTGATAGATATAAAAGGTCATAATTAGAATATATTTTTATGTCTAGTTAAATTATTAGTGGTATGCAAATTCCAATTATATATACAAATAATCAGGGCGGACCTATGAAGGGCAGTGGGGGTGCCACGCCACCCCCAAACTTCGACGGAAACTCTATATATACATAGGTATATATACATAAGATTTATATAAATATAAAGTGTGTCACCCACAGAACAAAATAGGCTTGTGGTGCCATGGTAGGAGGGCAACTTTAGAAGGTTGAGGTTGCGGGTTCGAATCCCATTTGAACCTATTTTTTTGAAAAATTGTTGAAGACGTTTTTTAAGTGAAAAAAAGGCTCCAAGCCCCCTTTTTTTTTAAGGAAAACAGCTGGCACATTATTTTATTTTATTTTATAATTGTTATTGACTTAAATTAAATTAATTACATTACTCCTTTGACTTAGAAGTGTTCTCTTTCTCTTCAACTATTTCCAAACCCTTCTTCCTCCAAGTTTCAACTTCTCCAAAAAATTTATTACCCCATTCCGAACCCAAATCACTTCTTGTCGTTGCCGCCCCCCGCCC